AAAGCACCACTCCCCGGTAAGTCTCTCACCACAACAAGGTGGTGCACAACGAGGAGAACGCTACATCACCTTTTTTTTTCTGGTAAGGCAGGGGAAATCCTTTGTGGATACCCACGGGTTCCGAGGGAAGACCCGTGGGTTATGTGGGAGTCTCCTGGGGACAAAGGCCCCCAGGCATATCCACTAAAACCCCTACCAATAGCCTTCCTGGACCATGTAGAGAGAGGGTGAAGCATCACCATAGGTATTCATCTCACCCTCCCTCAGGTCTGACCGTTGTTGCGGTCTCTTCTCGGAGAAGGAGGGGGATTTTCTAAGTTCCCCCCCTTCTCAATTACCGTCTTTGTCGGGAAAGGCCGGACTACCGCGACCTTTTTCCGCCCTCCCGTGTTTTGGTGGGGGGCTAAGGCCAGTCAGGAGCCCCCGCTCCCAACTGACCCCCCACCGGAAGGGAGATAGTATTCCTAGAATTCCTAGGACTTCGTCCCCTCTCCGGCCGTCCGAGTTGAGAGGGCCCTATTGGCCCCTCCCAGGGGAGTCCCCCCACGGGTACTTGGTGAACGTCACCACCCGGGGGAGAGCCCTGTTGTTACTTGCCCCCTTAGGGGGCGGGGGGGGGTTGTGGTGGCGGTGGCTGTGGAGGAAGAGCATCATCACCTCCCCCTCCTACCGCTTTCCCCCTTCTTTCTCTCTCTACCTCCTCCTTCTGCAACATAACTTTGCCGCAGAAGAAGGAGACGGCTCTCCATTTGTCCTCTCCCTCCAGCATAGTTTTAACTAATGCCGAAAGGGAGAGGTTCTCGCCGACCACTGCGGTCAGAACTCGACGCTCTTCCTCCCATGCTTCACACTCTACGAGAGTGTGCAGCGCTGAGTCCAGACCGGCCGCACAGTGGTGGCACTCGGTCGTGTACTCTCTGCCAATCCTGCACAGGTAGTCACCGAAGCATCCGTGCCCGGTAAGTACCTGTGTCAGGTGGAACCCAATTCCGCGTCCCCTCCTGTCTGCCCATTCGGGGAGACAGGGTTGGATGGCCTGGGTGATCCATCTACCTGCCTTGGAGCCAATCAAGAAGGCCTGCCACGCCTCTATGGCTTTTTGGCGGGTGTTCTTCCTTATTTTGGCCACGGCTCGTGGCGCAAGGCGGGCGCTCCCGTGCCGGTCTGGGTCTCTCGTACGCCGATAAACTTCAGCGTACGAGTTTGCCAGGAACTCGGCCGGGAGGAGGCCCGCCAGAGCCGTGGCCGCCATGAACGACGTCGTGCAGTAGGCCCTGATCGTCCTAATGGCCAGTCGGCGCTGTTGGCGATGAAGTATCGTCTTTATGCGCTGGCTGGCCTCAGCCTTGTCAGCCCAGACCGGTGCACCGTAAAGGTGCCTTTTCATGTATCGCCAAATCGCTCGAATTTAGCGACGAAACTTGACGATCGCTGTTTTTTTTTTGGCGATCATGAAAATAGAATGCGCGATAACAAGTAGCGATGACAGTAGACTTTTGGACTTTCGTAACAATTTTGTTATCATAATGTCATTACTATTTACTGTCAAGTATAGCGAGTGGTGCAGTCGTGCTGTTCAGTATATACAAGAATATCATGAGTGGCAAAGGAAATGTTTAGAAATTATGAAAAAGCAAGAAGAGGTTAGAAAGAAACGATTGTTTAGTGCAGCATTTGTTGCGGTTATGTCTATAGATAGAAAAATATACAAAAAAAGAAGATTTTGGAGGACTCCTATTTGTGCAGAACGGGAATTTCATGGTTTTTATGCTGCAATTCTTCCATCACTTCGACTGGAAAATATAGGTTTCCATAACTATTTCCAGATGTCAGCGACAAAATTGGAAGAGTTGTTGCATTTAGTTCAACCTGATTTAAGCAAAGAATATTGTATAAGACAACCAATTGCTGCGGAAGAAAGATTGATGTTAACCTTAAGATATGTAACTAAACGTTTCTGATGGAAATATATTCCCTAATAATCCCTGATATTGCATAGAAATGTACTGTTGGAAAAATATGTGAGAGAATTTCTGCAAATGCTTAGAAAGTGTGTTTAAAAAGCGTTTGTAAACATCAAGAAATTTATGTGCAATTTGTGAGATAATTATAGAAAAAGTTTTCACCAGGTTGTGTGTATAATTAATGTAAATAATTATTGACATAGCTATTACTTAAAATATAATTTCAAACGCTCTGTTTAGATCGTTTCGGGCGATTCTATGACATCGATGCATTACCAATATCTAGTGGAATTAATAATTGTAAGTGCAATTATATCGGAAACCTGTGCTGTCATATGGAAAAAACTTTGTCCTCTAGTTCTCCCATCGACTATAAACACCACAGATGTCTATACTAGTACTAGATCGCTAACTTTAGGCTTTGACGTATGGAAAAACTAAGGCTGGCAGGATTTCCGGTTTCGGCCATGACACCTTACAACAAAATGGCCGCTTAACAACTGCTCAACAACTGCTCAACAACTGCTTAACAACTGCTCGGCATCTTTCAAGAATTTTTACAATATTATCAATTTGTATCACCACGCCGGGTATCACATGTGCATATGCACGTACAGATATACACATACACACGCATTGTCGCCATTTTGTTGTAGGGTGTCATAGCCGAAACCGGAAATCCTGCCGGCCTCAGCTCTTTTGACGAAGTTAGCGATCTAGTACTAGTATAGACATCTGTGATAAACACCGAAGAATGGCAACATATTGCTAAAACCTTCAGCGATACTTGGAATTTTCCTCATTGTATCGGGGCTATAGACGGAAAGCATGTGGTTATTCAAGTAAGATTCCTATAAAAAATGAATACATCTGGTTAAATTTGTTATTTCAAACACTGTAAATTAATATATCCTTTTTTGATTATAGTGTCCCAATAATTGTGGATCTATGTACTATAACTATGCGATGGATGTGATGGAATATCATCACAAATAGTTTCATATAAACCACATGTGAAGACTTGTATCAATTCCTAAACACAGATATTTAATTATTACTTAATGTAAATATCAATAGTAATGACCATTTTTCTCTTATTTTAGGTCTCTTATTTTAAAGATTAAATAAAGAAATATACTACACGCTATTATTTATTAGTCTTATTACGTTAACAAATATCAATATTATATTACTTACCTCATTTTCCTGCTTAATTAGTTCATCTGTATCACTCATGATAAAAAATTCAAATAGAAAGTAGCGATTAGTAGCCTATTGTCGCTGTAAGATAGACCAAATCTAACTACAGAAGCGACTAACAGCGACGACTTTCAAACGACTGATGAAGTCACGTGACTCTCCGATCGCTATAAAAGTCGCGACGATCGCTACCATGAAAAGATACCTTAAAGGTACACCGACTACACGACGTTCGTATAGAGTCGCCTGACTCTGTTACACGGACCACCCAGGTTCGGTAGGAGGCGACCTAACGCAGTCGCCATCCTATCCGCTTTGGGGGTTATTCCAGCAAAGTGCTGCTCAAACCCCCAAAGTTCATCCAGGGTGAGGCCCAGATATTTCATCTGGGTTCTCATCCGGACACGGACTACCCCTACCCAGATCTGGGTAGGTGGAGGCCGTCCCAAGGCCCTGTCGTAAAAGAACAAAGCCTCCGTTTTTTGTGGGGCGATCTCGAGCCCCATTGCTCTGATAGAGTACACAACCGCCCGGGTAGCATTTGCCGCATCCCGGGCTTCCCTCCATGTCTTCCCCCGGGCTACCACCAGTGTGTCGTCCGCGTAACACAGCAGACGACAGCCCGGGGGAAGCGCCGTGCGGAGCACTCTGTCGTATGCGAGGTTCCAAAGTAGGGGGCCAAGTACTGACCCCTGAAGAACTCCGCAACAGATTACCCTTCGACTTACCCGCTCCAGCTGGTCTTTTAGCTGGAGCGTTCTATCGCGGAAATAATCCCAAAGGACCTCTCGTATGTATGGGGGGAGACCATAAAACTCCATGGCCTCCCCCACATGTTCCCAGGGGAGGGAATTAAAGGCGTTGACGATGTCAAGTAACACCGCCAACGCCACGTCTCTCTCCCCTACAATATGTTCCGAGAGGGCCCGCAGATGCATGATCGCATCTGTTGTAGATCGGCTCTCCCGGAACCCAAATTGGTCCTCTGACAAATTGGGATCATCCCGCGACAGGTGCTGGACGATTCGGCTGGCAACAATTCTTTCGAACAATTTGCCGACCTCGTCCAGCAGGCAAATCGGCCTGTAAGCCGAGGGTTGCTCCGCCGGCTTCCCCTCCTTGCAAAGAAGCATCCTCCTCAGGCGGGCACCCACCACGCCAAAGGCCAAGGCCCACACTCTACCGGGTACCCCGTCCGGGCCAGGAGCTTTTCCGGTCGCCCCCAGCCTTTTGGACGCCTCGGAGAGCTCCCTTTCGGATATCTCCAAGTCCCCGGTCCAGGGGGGGATCCCCTCTAGGGGGATATGGATGTCCCTGATTGGGAAAAGTTTCCCCACCACCTGACCGAGGAACTCGGGGTCCAGCGTCTCCGAGATTGGGGGCGCCGCTGGTCTCAATCTGTTGAGTACCAGTCAGTACGGACGCCCCCAAGGGTCCCGGTCGAGTTCCGCCAATAACTCTTCCCAGGCCTTGGCCTTGACCCTGCCAATTGCTGTCCGCAGAGAGCACTTTGCGGCCAGGTACTCTCCGCGCGCATCGGCAGTTTCCTCTTCGTCCCCACCCGCCCTTCGTCGGGCTCTGAGGAGGTCGCGTCTTGTGGCGTTTGCCCGCCTGCGCAAATCTGCTATCTCCTCTGTCCACCAGTATTTAGCTCGGCGAGGGGCGGGCCTTGATCGGAGCATGGCCATATCGCACATACGCTCGGCCATGTCCCCGATTTCCTCGGCTTTGGCCTCGGTATCGGCGAGGTCGGGAGGATCCGATCACGCCTCTACCAAGGCCGCCGCCATCAATTTATCCTGGTCTAACTGGGCCAGGGCCCATCTTCTGGGGGGTTTATTGCCCCTTTGTAGACGGCGGCGGATCAGCACCTCCTGGGGGGGTGGCAGTCAGGACCATCTCTATATAGAAATGGTCTGAAAGGGACTCTCGGTCCGCCATCCCCCAGGTCCTCACCAAGTGCGCCGCCCGAAGAAACGCCCATGTCAAGTCGACAATGGACTCCCCCCGGGGATGGACGCAGGTGCTGACGGACCCCCTGTTTTGTAACAGGAGGCCCAGCCCGGCCGCCCAATCCCGCACGGCTTCACCCCTGATGTTGGTGAGCCGGGAACCCCACTCCTGATGCCAGGCGTTGAAGTCCCCGGCCACCAGTACAGGGTGGGGGAGGCAACGGCGAATGCCCTCCCTCATCTCCTGCAGTTGCTCCAGGAATTCGAGGTGAGGCCTCCTTGAGGGGCATAAACCTTTATCACGCAGAAGGCACCCCACTGCGCCATAACGAATCCCGCCCCGTTCCACTAGAGTAAGGGGGAGGGGGAAGCGCGGGTAGTGCCTCCTTACAATGACGACGGAACCGTTCGAGGCCGATACCCAATTGGGGTCGGAGTCTAGCACCCGATACGGCTCCGCCGCCACTCCCAATCCTGCATCACGCTTGCACAGGTCCGATAGGAACAGGTCCTGGGCCCGGCGAGCGTGATTCAGGTTGGCCTGAAGGAGTTTCGTGGACATTTTTTAGTTCTATAGAACCTGTTCTTCCTTCAGGTCAATCCTTCCCGCTTCTTCGGTGGCAGCCGGTGTTGGGTCCACCTCCATCTCCTCGGTGAGAGATGTAGATTCTCCCTCGATGGGTGGCATCGCCGCTACCACCTTTCTTCCCTCCTTGGAGGGGGGGGTGGGAGCCTTTATGGCTTCCCCCTCCCTCTTCTTCTTGCCTCCTTTGGGGGGCTTACATGCTGGCCCCCCCATGCGGTGGGAGGCAGGAAGTCCCGCGTCACGCCACACGGCGCAACTTGCCGGTGCCGTGCACGATCAGGCCTCGTGCCCCGACCCGCCGCAGCGGTAGCATAGACCGCTTCGGTCCGCGGTCGTGTTGGGGCACTTTGCCCTCACGTGGCCCCTCTCCAAGCATTTGAAGCATTGGAGGGGGCGCGCCTCCAAAAGCTCTACTCGGGCTTTGAAGAGCCCGTCGATTATGATGTGTCCCCTCTGGGCAATCTTATTGGCTGCCTTAAGGGGACACTTCACTCAGGCCGTAATAGGGCCTTTTGGGATAGGGGAGATTTTGATGTCCTCCACCTTAACTTTGGTGGGGGAGCATTCTCCCGTCTCCGCCACTGCTTTGGCAATGCTCTCAGCAGTTGACGACGGCGCCAGACCCCGGATGCGGATCTCCCCCATTATTTGGTGTCGGTTGATCCGCACCTCGGGGTTGTCCGCAAACAGGCTGCGCATCTTTTGCGCCAGTCTGTCCGCACACTCCTGTCTGTTGGGGCCCTGTATCTGTAGGATACAGGCCCCAGTTAGACCCGTTGTGTATTTTATCGGGGGAATCCCCATCTCTTTGATGGAGATCTCCTCCGTGATCCTTCTCGTCACTGCAGTATATTGTCCCTCCGGACACGTGACGGAGATCGCCGCGGTGTTAGGCACCTTCCTTTTCTTTTTTCTTCCTTTTTCCCCCTTCCTCTCCCCCGGGTGCCCGTTTTAGGCGGGGGGGGGGGGAGAGGGATTTTATGGGCGGTTTTGGGTGCCGCCTTTGCAGTTTTTTTGGCGCCCTTAGCCGTTGTAGTGGGAGGAGCAGGGGGTCTCCTTCTTTTTCTTCCCCTTTTTCACCACCTCCGTGAAAAGCTGAGGTGGTGATTCCTGCTGCTGCTGTTGTTGTTGCTCGCAGACAGCGACGGCTGTAGAGGTTTCTCCTCCAGGAGGGATTGATTGCCCCGGTTTTACACTCGGGGTTTTCTTTCCCCCCGTTAGGGGGGGGGAAGAAGGGTCGGCAGTGGGCTGTCGCACAGCGACGGACTGCGTCGATTCCTTCCCTTTCCTCTTTTACCTCTTTGAGTCCCCGGCTGGGGAAGCCACCCTCTTAACGGAGGGTGGACCCGTACTGCCAGGGGATTTGGAGGGAGGGGGGGTTAGGCAAGGAGAAGGGAGGGAGCCTCTTCTCGATGAGCTCCCTCATCTGCTTCATTTCTTCTCTTATTTCCTTCCTCATCTCCTCTCTCATCTGCCTCATCACTATCTGCATTATGGTGGCAACCGAGTCACTTCCTTGCAGGAGGATGTTGCTGGTGACCACCGGGTGGGGGAGGGTCCACCAGCCTTTTACTGACCCCTTTCAGCGGAGGTCTATCTACTGGGTGGTCATCAAGGTCCTCCTTTATGATGACCATCTTGGGAGAGGGTTCCACTGGTTGGATCTCCATTGGTTCTCCCATGGAATTCTCTTCGTCCAAGCTGCCCTCTTTTGCGACCCTGGTCTTAGATCGGGTAGTGAGAGGGGAGGGAGGAGGGGAGGTTCTATCTTTTTCCTCTATCTGCCTTCGGAAATCCGCGATCTCCTGCTCCATGCGGCGATTTGCCGCAAGAATCTCGCTCGTATTCTCGTTGGCGGGGGAGGGGGCCCTTCCCGCAATGGGGTCGTAGTACCCTTTCCCCGCTCTCTCCGCCAGAGTTGTGGGTCCCGCTTGGAGGGAAGAAGCTGCGACGCAGAGCTGTTTCGCGAGGTCCCCCCTGAGGCCCTTGGAGACCTCGGCGACCTCCAGAATTGTGTTTGAACTCCTCCGGAGGTCGTTCAGGATCTCCTGAACCGGCTTCGCATCAAATTCCGCGACCTTGTTGTTAACCATTATCATATGTTTATGGTAACGGCCGGTCGTACGGTCCGTCTCGAAGTGGGGATTCTGAATCCTCTCGGAGAGCCTGCGGTGGTCCTCAGTCCGCTCAGCCTCCTTCTCCCTCCTTTTGCGAGCAGTATGCTGCCCGGCTTGTCGAGGATCTTTAGCGGGGCGTCCCCTCGGATCCTCTTTCCTGGCTCGAGCCTTGAGAACCTCCTCGTCCTCGGACGAGAGTTCGTTCCTTGGCGGCGGCGGCTTCTTCTTTTTTTTCCTCTCTTCAAAGGAGGAGGGGGGAGAATCAGGGGGGCTGGTGGTCTCCTCCCCTCCTCTTCTAAGCCTCTTTACCCCGGCAGACGATGTGCTTGCGTGAGTGTCGCCGTCATCCTCCGTGCAGAGATCGATGGAGGTCGCATGATTGAGGCTCTCCTCCGACCCCGCACGGGAAAAACTCCCCTGGCGCCCCGGTGATCCTGCGCGGGATGAATTTTGCAAAGACCCCGGGGTTCCAACAAAGGTGCCCTTTTTTGACCTTGGGCAAGGTCTGGTGGTGGGAGGGGGAAGAGAGGAGGATAGGTTTCCTCCTATCTCCCTTCCGACCATCTCAACGTCTGAGTCGCCTCCCCCCCTCAGTCTCAGAACCGAAACCTGAGGCGGAGCGCCTAATTCATGAGACACCTCGAGTGTCTCCCTGCCCTGTCTCTCAGCTGAGAGACTTAATCCCGCTTGCGCAAGATGTTCCTCCCGACGTTCGTTAAAATTAGAAAAGCGTATCATTTTTGTTTAAAACCCACAACCCATCACGGCTCCGCCAACCGGGCATGCCCTGTTACCCCCGAGTTCCCCCGGGGAGTCGACATATGGCTCTGGCACCGAGATAGGCATCCGGTGCACGGGTCTCCAGCCCCCTACTCACCTCTGGTTTTACCCAGAGGTTTTCGGGGGTCCCACATCTCCGACTTGTAGGCACCGTGATGGGCGCCGCCACGCGGGGGACCCCACGGACGGATAGAGCGGAGGGTTGTAGCGACCCAACCAACCGTCTTGCCCGCCGTGACGACCAGCATAAGTACTCCTCGTCCGCGTATTCTGGGACCGGTAAGACTACCGGAACGCACTCCGAGAGTGCGCGGACCTCGCTACTCGACCCCGACCTCAGAATATGTCTGAGCAGCCACCAGGCCAGGCCGGAAACCGCGAGCTAAGCTCCCAGAAACCGCCCCAGCCCCCACCGCCGTCCGACCCTGCCTCGGATTACCTCCGAGCGGCTCGGTACGGCCCCGCCCGACGAGCCCGGTGAATTCCGGGACATCAACGGCCCGTCGCTCCCTATCACGCTTGCGTACACAGGGACCACGTCCCCGTGCCGTTTGAGCGGAGAGAGAAAGCCACCTTTGTTGTAGGACGCCGCTTCCTCCCATGCCAGACCGCATCCGTTTCTTACCCAAGACCGGGAGAGAAAGGATCGGCCCCAGACACAAGAGGACCGGATTCACAAGAGCACCCACATCCCTTCCCTTTAAACGGGGCCCAGTGTTGCTAGACGGGACGCTTTTTCTCGCGCATGCGCAGCGCTGCAGCTATGAATCCAGCGATGTATACGGCTATATATAGTGTTAGGTGCTGGCGCGAAAAGTTAGACGTTTGACAGGCTACAGGAGAAGGTTAGGTGAGTACATGTAAAAAATAATAATATTTATATCATATATACATTTATATGTATTTTTTGTTACGCGAAATATGAATAGTTCAAAAGGAGCCATTAAAAAAGACGCATATTAAAAATTTTCAAAATTCTTGATTAGCTGACGATTTATTTAAAAGATGGCTGGCTCCTCATCCTACGAAAAATAAGGCAATTTGTAACTTGTGCAATATTACCATTAGATGCTGTAAATCAGATTTAATACGGCATTCACAAAGGGCTAAACATATTAAAAATTGTGACAGTAATTCTCAAATAAGTCAAAGCCAACATTCCAAAAATTCTCATATTGAAAACGTTAAACGAGCCGAAATTAAATTAGCAGCTTTTTATTCTGAACATAATGTTGCTCTTTATGCCGCAGATCACGTTCCTTTGTTAAAAGACATTTGTATAGATTCTTCAATCGTGCAAGATCTTTCACTGGCTCGATCAAAGTGCACCAATATTATTAAAAAAGTTCTTGCAAAGCAGGAAATTGAGAAAAATTGTT